TTGTCCCTCTAGCTATTGGACCATTAGGACCGAGCCCGAACTTCAGTGACCTTTAGAGGGATAGTCTCAAGGGAGCGATCTGAACATTGCCCACTGCCCCGTTCTGATCTTTCCCTAAACAAGCATGGATTCTAGAGGGATCCAGTCTGAATGCAACAGGGGCAAGTGTATTATAAACAAGGCCTTAGCAACGTGTACTGCTTTCGTTGAACTAGAAGTGGACTTCAGCTTGAACTCTCTAGGGCTGGGTGCCACATGGGCAGAAGCTCTGAGTGTGGTTTACAGAGAGATGAGACCGACAGGAAGAACTACAAACACTACACGGAAAGGCCGAGACTCTGACAGCTGAGAAACTAAAGACTGGTTTGATGTGGGCTTTCTGGAGCTGCTGGGAAGGAACTCATTAACGGATGAAACAGGAAAGCCTTGGAATCTACCTGGAGAACGTGGAGCATCAGGGCTTTGCTCAAGCAGATGTTAAGAGTTGGACGGCGCTGGGTAGAATTGCAAACACTTACATAGCGCTTATTCTGGGCCAGCCTCTAAGCATTAATTCGTTAAGTGGGAACATTTCAAATTTAGAACCAGGGAGTGGGCCAGACAGGTCAGTGAGGGCCAAGGAGTGTAGGATTGTGGCTAATGGTATGAGTTAAAGCATTCCACAAAGTCGCCTGTAAAGGTGCTGGTAAAACTGGGCACCTGTAACTCGGCTACCTGCAGGGGTTTGTGCTTGAGGCTGGAGAGAGCCAACTGTGTGCATCTCTTCCCACCTCTGTTCAGCAGCACACTGGTAGCTTGAAACGGGCCAGTTACACCACGGAAATCGACAGGTGCTACGTGAGGGCTCTCCCCTCCCCGCTCCCCCCAGAGCCAGTTAGCCAGCACGCCAGCCTGGAACCATAGAATATGGACGGGTCCTGCCTCGCCTACTTAAGGAATCCACTCAACAGGCCCTGATTTAATACGTGCTCATCCAAGCTGCTGGGTCTAAGGTATTGTGTAAGGCGCTGGGGATCAATCAATGAAAACGCGGAGACCCTGACTTCATGGAGGTAACGATCTAGTGGTGGAAACAGAACTAATATTAACACAATCGGTTCAATTGTGAGTTAACGCCACAAAGGAGAGACACAGGGTCCTGCAGTCACCTCACCCTCCGCACCTGATTCGCAGCTCAATTCTCTGGCATTTTTCCTGGAGAAGCAAAGCACAGCTGTCCCCACCCTTCTCTCGCTGTTCCTGCCTCCAGGCCAGCACTTCCCGTCACTAACAGGTAACTTCTGCAGCGCCCGGCGGGCCATTTCCTGGGTCCCCAGACAGTATTTCAGCCTCAGGGGCGGAACCCATCATGCGCAGAGCCGTCTCAGCAGAGCCCCCTCCTCCCCCACTGCACCTGGCCAGGCCCAGCTCCTGCCACTGTTCTGCTCCCCAGGACATCACGGTTTCCATGGGAACCCACTCACTTCAAAGGGGAACGGCAGAGACTGGAGGGGAGGAGGGATAGTGAAAGCTGGATCAACCTCACCCTCTTGGCCCCATCTCTGTGCTGCTGGCAACCTAACCTCCAAGCTCCCCGCCACCTAACACCGTCCAGCCCACAGCCCACAGCCCACCGGTGGAGAGGTGGGGAGGTGTGGTCCAAGCTAAATTTTAACTTCTTGGGGGGAAAACCCCAGGGGTGAGGTGCACCTGGGGAAGGAGAGATCTGAGCTGGGTCCAAGCCTGCGGTCCCCGCTCCATGGGGCCTCCCCTCAGCAGACCCCCCTCAGCATTGCTCCTGGGCCACAAACACAATTACCCGCGATGTGCATCCAATCATGGGGTCTGCTCGGATTAGACTGCAATCATTAATCTGAGCGGGAGCTCCCGGCCGCCTTGCTGATCAGCCCAGATGATGCTCTGGTATGATCCAATTCAAGACAGACTCTGCCTCCCTTCCCCCTCCCCCCACCCCACACGCAGAGTTGCCACATCAGAAGGAACCAATACATTTCATCAACACATCCTCCTACACAAATAAAACCTCAGGGCACCAGGAGGCTCCTTCCCGCTTGTCACACTGCCCGATGCCGCCCTGCGGGCCTGGCCAGGGAGGGGCCTCCCCCACCTTCGTTCTTCGAAGTAGTTCAGGGAGGGGCCTCGGCGGGGACACCCAAAAGTCAGCGTGGGGCACTAATCTCCGTGGAGAGGGGATGCTTACATTTACGGACATGAAATGCTGACTCCCTGAGGTGCTTTGAGCAGCTAGGCCGCCCCAGGCGGGCAGATCTAATTAGAATTACCCGACCCTATGGGAGGTGGAGTGTCTCCCCTCAGCCCGCAAGGGCGGTGGAGAGGGCGGCTGGCACTAATGGGAGAGGGGTGGTCATGGGAGACACCCTGGGGGCCCTGGGACAAGCAGGGCTGCAGAAGAAAGAACTGGGCAAGGGTGCTGATGTCCCTCTGCTCCGTCGTCCTGAGATGCCGGGCAGCCTTGTTTGGCTGGACTATTGGTGGTATCCAGCCTGGGATTTCTTCTTCATGGTCAGACAGCTGCAGAGATAATTTGCTCAAATGCCATGGGCTGTGAGGTGACAGCCCCATGGGAGAGGGTGAATCTCAGATGTGGAGGTGAGGCATGTTAGTTGAGGGAAGATCTGGGCCTTTGTACTTCAGGTGACATCATGGTGGACAGCTCCCTTGGGGACGCGGCCCACCTCCTGGCTGGGCCTGGGTGGGGTCTGAGCCTGGGATCTTGGGAAGGGCTATGGAGCACGTGGAGCCCATTGGCAGGAACAAGGGAACCGTCTGCTTTGTGCCAGACATGGAGCCAGGTGCTGGCATGGGCTGTCTTGTAATTCTTGCCGAACCACTGATTAGGTTCTGTCCTGAAACCAACGCTCAGAGAGACGAGTACAAGGAGGAGGTAGGGCTCAAGCCTAGGTTTCCAGAAACTTTATGTTAGGCCACTAATTTGGGGTCTTTCTAGACTAAGATCTGTGCTCACTACAGGTCCCTGCCCCTGGGGGTCCGAGAAGGTGTCAGGGATCCATCTCCAGTGCGAATATGAATCACCTGGGATCTTGTCAAAGTGCAGATCAGGAATCCTCAGGTCGAGTGGGGCCTGAGATTCTGCGTCTCCAATGAGCTCCCAGGTGACGCGATGCTTCTGGCCCACGGACCACACTTGGAGCAGCAGGGATTGAAAGGGGGCGTGATGACTGTACCCAAAGTCATCAGACCACGGGGCAGTTTTCAGAGGCCAGGCCACTCTCGCTCCCTGTTTCTGTTCTGCCACCAGGCACAAGGTGAGGCTACAGGCCCTGTGCAGCCTCATCTTCCCGTGCCCAGCTGCTCTGGCCACTGACCGTCCTGGGAACACACCAGGCTCTCCTCTGCCGGAAGTTCCTGACCCCCCATTTCTCCTCCTGCTGAGCTCTCTTACTCAGCCTTGAAGATCAGACTCTACTGCTTCCCCCGTGAAGCCTTCTCTGTCAAAGCCCTGACCACTCTATGTTGGTTTCTTGTTTGCATTATGTCTCCGTTCCTGGAGAGGCAGGGAACAGCCCATGCATAACCTTTATGATTTACCTCTTTCCCCTGGAGCCCAGCACAACGCCTCCACGTAGTAATAGCAAGGGTTCAAGGCAAGTATGAAGGGAGGACAGGAGTGTAGGTCCCATGCTGGGGGCAGGGGAGCTGGGGTCCTCCTCAGGGTCTCTGACCGGTCCCGTGACCAGATCCTGGCATTCTTTGGGGCCCAAGGCAGAGGTCTCTACCCGCAGGAGCTGGGCCTGGCCTGTGCGCCGGGCAGGCTGGGGCCCGGGAGCTGTGTTATCCAGGCCTGGGAAGGACCTTGTGTCAGGATCTAGAGATCAGGGCCCACTGCTTTGGACTCCCAACTGTTGGCATTAGAGGCATTCAGCTCATCTGAGTAACTAAAAATAATGCCAGTGATAATGATCATAACGGCAATAATTATCACCATTGCCATAAAGCCACTGTCATGGGCGGGGCTGGGTGGGCCAGTCCATGTGTGACTGGAGTTAGCGACTGCTGCAGCACACGCTCAGCCAGGGGTTGGCCCCACTGCTGACGCACGCGAATGTATGTGCTCACACAAGCGAATGTGAGCAAGGGTCCAACCTCAATACTGGGTGCTGACTTGGGCATCTTTTCTTAGTGATGTGGGCTCCCCATGGATAAAGGATGACCGAAACCCCTGCTGGGACATCGCTCAGGTCTGCCCTCAGAGGACCGCATCTTCACCCCAACAATGTACACAAGACAGACCGGAATTTCCCTGAGCCCTTCCCACCCTCTGCTACATTCAGGGCCCAGCCCTGGGTACAAGGGGCTGATACAGAGTAAAATGACACAAGCCGCCTGCTCTCAGCAAACTGCCCATCTCGGGGAGGGTGCCAGAACCTACACAGTCGTGTACAACCTCTATTGCTAAAAACCAAAGACTACCATGAATCACAGTGTGGTCCAAGCACCAGCTGCATTAGAGTCGCCTGGAATGCTTGGTAAACATTCATACCCTCCTCCTACAGCTTGACCTACTGATTCAGCATTTCTGAGCACGGAGTCCAGATACATGTGTTCTGACGAGCGCTCCCGGCGGTTTCCAGGCGTACTAAAGCTTTGCTCACAACCGAGTCCTGGATGGCGAGTGCTGGAATGAAGGCGATGACGGGGCATGTGGGCCAGGACAGTCCTGAGGCAGCTGCCCGTTTGCTGAGTGGAAGGCTCTGATGCTCGTCAGGGCTCATCTCCCCAGCTGGGCTGAGGAAGAGGCCGTCCTAGAAGACACAGCCCAGGCCTCATCTCCCTCCCTGGACAATTCCTGCATGGCCAGCTGAGGGCTCTCTGGAGTGACTTGAGAGAGAAGGGACCTGGCCCTGGCTATTGGCTTCCATGAGCCCACCTGCTGGCTTGCACTCACATCTCTCATGGCTGAGCTGGGCCTGAGGCCACTTGGGGGCTCCTGCGCATGGCCCGGCTGAAGTGTCTCCTACCTGTACACAGCTCGCTTGTCAGCCTCCAGCTGGGCCTGGGGGTCGATGGGGGCACTGGGCACAGGTGTGCTGGCAGCAGCCGAGGGTGCGGCGATGTGGACAGCCTGGGCCTTAGAGGGGGCCTGAGCGGTCGCCGTCATCTGCAGAGACAGAGAGGAGGCGTGGGTTAGTAGGGCCAGGACCACTGGTTCCCCGGCTGGAACTGTGAGGTCCACCTCGTCCTGTGGGGTGTGTGTGTGGATAACAGAACGTGTATGAGAGAAATGTGAGGGTATAACGAGCGTCCATTTGTACATATGCTGCAGTGGGAAGAAAGCTGGTGTTTTCTCAAATGAGAAAATTCTGGGGAACGATTTAGGACCATCCAAAATCAGGTGGTGTGGAAGTGAGCTCACTTTAAAAGCGACCTAGAGGGGCTAGGGGCCTAGATGGGGAGGGTGGGAGGGAGGCTCAAGAGGGAGGAGGTATGGGGATATGTGTATACATTCAGCTGGTTCACTTTGTTGTACAGCAGAAACTAACACAACATTGTAAAGCAATTATACTCCAATAAAGATGTAAAAAAATAAAATAAAAGTGATGGTTCTTAATGCAAATTAAGGTGGTGGCCTCTGGCCAGAAGCAGAAAAAAACAGAATGATGAACCCTTTAAATTGTGCTTATGAGTCACTTGGGTTGTACTGGGCAGTGCTAGGTTTGATTTGATGACTTTGGAGAGCAGGAAAAAGATAGCTGAGTCAGTTCTCGACTGGGCAGAGGTTTATCCCATTTAACACAAGCCAGAGGTAACTTTTAATGGTTTTGACCGACAATTGAGTGTTCTGCAAATTTGGTTTACCTGGGCACTTGAAGATAAGCAGGTTGTAGTGGACGATGAACAGATTTCTGTTCTTAGCCATAACAAATATTTAGCGTAGTAGTTCCCCTCCTATGTTACATGTTTTTGAAGGTGCCCCTGGGTTCCCAAGTTTGTGCCAATCAGAGCACCTTTTAAAAATATATTCTATATTGGACTTTCCGTATAAGATTTCATTTAAAGAAATGGTTAAATGGCTTTTAAATTTTGGGTAACCATCATAACAGAACTTGATGCTTTTATATTTTATTTTCCTTAAATGGATCCCTGAAATGTCACGTGTGGTGACATGCCTCAACTATTGCTTTCCTCCAACCGGCCCACAGAGCCTGACAGCTCTCACCCACTGTGTTCTTGGACTTGACGCCCTTGTCTGCCTCCCGAGCTAATACCTTGTTCACACCTTCATCCCCGGCACCCAACTGACACAGACTGGATGCTTAGCGTTTGCTTAGAAAATGAAGGAGGGAATAAACAAGTGAACACACCTTGAAAGAATCGTATACTTCACAGCTGGAAAGTTTACCGTATGATCTAGGTCCCTGCTTTTCGGAAGAAAGAGTACTGTACTTCCACGAATACAAGCACAAAGCACTTGCTGTCTCATTTTCTTCATTAGATCTCTGTTCACGTGCCACATCTTCACAGTACAATAGAGTCCCTCTGCCCCTGCTATCCCCTTACTCTGCCTTATTTCACAGCCCTTATTATGACTATATATTTCATAGCCCTTATCATGACCAGATGCTATATATCTACTTGCTGAGTTATTTTCTCTCCCACCTCCAACTCAAATGTAAGCTCAAAGAGGGCTGGTTAACGGTTGTATTCCGAGGGTCTAGAACAGCCTGGCACTAGTCAATGCTCAACAAATATTTGTTAAGTGAATGAATTAATGAGTGATGGGTGGTAAATAAAATTGAGACTATAAAAGAAATATACTGTATCCCCATCATTTTTTGTTAGGAAGAAATATCCTTGTCACTGTTAGCTGAGCTGGGGGACCTTTCCCAAACTCAGTGCTAGACAGAGCATCATGGTACCTTGAGGCCAGCAAGGTACCATGCTTGATTCTTACTGTCTCCTGTTAATAGCTTTTTGACTTTGAGCAAATCCCTCAACTTTCCTAAGTTCTTCCTTTTCATCAGTAAGCAAACTGGTGTCCTTTTAGGATTCATGAGTATTAAAGAGGTGCTGTAAGGAAGAAAGTAGAAACAAATGCTGTTCTAATTTTCAAAATACAGAAATAAGGTGGAATCAGACAAACTAAGTATACTTCTAATCTTCACACTGATCTGGGCTAGTTTCTTTCATTCACCAATGCAACTGATTATCAAGTTCTTCTCAATACTTTGAAGTCGCCACCATGTACTAGGCACTGGGGTGACTAGGATGAATGCCTGCTATAATGGAGCCCAGTTCTGGGTTTAACACGATCACTGAGCTGTCAGATCAGGAAAATGGTAGACATTTTCAGTTACATGGTGTAAATGACCTCAGCAAGGTACCTCCCATGATATCCTCGTGGAAAACATGGAGCGACGTGGTCTGGTGGACAATTGTGTGGATTAGGAAGCTACACCCAAAGGATGACAATTAGAGGAGAGATGTCAGAGGGAGGAGGGCTTCTAGGAGATGCCACATGCTTTCTCCTCAACTCTCTTCTTCAGTATTTTTATCAGTGATTTAGAGGATGTCTGAAGAAACGCTCAACAAACTTATGGGTGACATGAAACCGGGATCCGAACGATCTTCACAGATTTTGGCAACGTGCTAAGTCTAATAAGATTAATTCTTGTCTAATAAGTTGGAATTTAACACTTCCAACACTTCGGCAAAAAAAAAAAAAAATCGATAATATAAGTGCAGAAGAGGAGAGACATCGTTTAGCAGCACCTTTCAGTTGACAGAAGGCTCAGTATGTCCACAGTGTACTGTGTCTGTCAAACAAACAAACAAACAAAAACCCCAAACTGATGCTCTGTGAGGACCCATCAGCAGAGGCACAGCTCACACAAAGCTTCCAGCCCCACCTACTAAGCTGAGACAGGTGCAGGGAAGTACACTCAGAGGAGGGTGGACCAGGCTGCTCAAGGGATTCTGAGGAATATTTGTAGGAATCTGCAATGTTAAGGAAGATTTGGGGGATGGGAGGGAGATGGAAAGACATGAGAGCCCCCTTTGAATATCTGAATGAGGGATTAGATTGTGTCAGTTCTGTTCTGTATGCCCTAAAGCGTCAAACTACAACCGATGCATTACATCTGTAAAATGCAGAGACACATTTGGGCTCAACCCAAATAGTAAGTTTCCGAGCCTCTGAGCTCTCCAAGGCTGGGATGGGCTGCCTCCCGGAAGTGGTGAGTTTTCACTGGTGCAGGGGCCAAGCAGAGACTCCCGCGGAGGCGATGGACGCTCTCTAGCTGGGTGGGCTGGCGTAGGTGACATCTGAAGTCCCTTCTAACTGTGACAGGCTCGGACGCCGTGAGGGTGCTTTCATGACCACTGCCCACCCCCAGGGTTGGCGTGGGGCTCAGATTAGATGACGTACGGTGTGTAAAAGTGCTTTGGAAACTCTATAAAGTTTTCCCCATATGGAGGGGTGGTTGTAGTTCTTCAACTCCAGCACGTGCATCTTTCATAAAGCAATGCACGGCTCGTTTAAGCGTAAAATACAGGGTAGGCTGGTGTGCCCTGCTCTGCTCAGTGCACTAAGGGTGAATTTCCTCGAGTCCTTGAAGGAATCCACAAGGGGTTTCTATGCAGATGAGCTTCTAGGAGTGGGAGGACTGAGGGGAGGGGCTCCTTTTCCTCTCACCTCCTCTTTCTAGACAGGACTTTGGGGGAAGGTGTGGCCAAAAGCCCAGCTGGGGCCCAGAGGAAAGCGTAAAGCCTGTCATACAGAGTGAAGTAAGTCAGAAAGAGAAAGACAAATACCGTATGCTAACACACATATATGGAATCTAAGAAAAAAAAAATAAGGTCATGAAGAACCTAGGGGTAAGACGGGAATAAAGACACAGACCTACTACAGAATGGACTTGAGGATATGGGGAGGTGGAAGGGTAAGCTGGGACGAAGTGAGAGAGAGGCATGGACATATATACACTACCAAATGTAAAATAGCTAGCTAGTGGGAAGCAGCCGCATAGCACAGGGAGATCAGCTCGGTGCTTTGTGACCGCCTGGAGGGGGGGGATAGGGAGGGTGGGAGGGAGGGAGACGCAAGAGGGAAGAGACATGGGAACATATGTATAACTGATTCACTTTGTTATAAAGCAGAAACTAACACACCATTGTAAAGCAATTATACTCCAATAAAGATGTAAAAAAAAAAAAAAAGTGGTCACTTGTCAGCATCCCAAGCGCCGGCCCCAGCTGAGAGGCTGTTACTGGGGCTCAGAGAGCCGGGCCGGGGGAGAAGAGAGCAGAGCTGGCCTGAGGAGGACGATGATTCAAATTTATTTAGCTCCTGGGGGCCAGTTCAGCAAACTCTGCATTTCCTCCAGGTTGGGAGAATGTTTATCTTCAAATAGATTTCTTCTTCTAGCCAGAGACACCCATTTCTCAAGAACTGGAGCTCAGAGGGAGAGGCCCGCAGCTGTCCCAGGGCCCGGGAGCAGGGGGTTGAGGGTGTCGGGTGGTGAGGTTTTGGGGGAAGGTTCTAGGCCTAAAGAACAGAAGCGGGGGGGGAGAGGCTGGACAGATGGAGGGCGGAGATCCCTTGCTCTGGCCTATGAAAGCCAACTGGTAAATTGTCAGGAATTTTGCAAGCCGGTTGATATCATATCGGTAGAGCCTGAAGCTGACCATGGTGGGAGTAATTACGCCACAGAAACTGGCAAAGGCTGCACATCAATCCTCTTTCTAACCCCCAACCAGAGAGCTGGTTGTTAAACATTTATCAGCACACCACTAGTGTCAGAGTTTCTCTCCAAGTAACTTTCTCCTATTCTCCTCGCTCTGGCATATGAAGAAACTACACTCTATGAGGCCACTTGGTGTGCCCACAGCTGGTCTCAGGCCCGGAGCCTTCCTCCAAGGACAGCACTGGACATCCTACCCAGGCAGGCTGTGAGGCTTGATTAAGAGAATAGGATAACGACTAGCGGGTGGGGAAGGATGGCAGCATTCCCCAGGAGGGCCTGCCCGCTGGGAGCTGCGGTACTGGGTCCAGAACCTACACAGGGTCCTTGCCGTCCTCCTGCCTCCCATAGATGCTCTAGCCACTGGACTCTTCTCTATCATCCAGCTGGAACCAGCCCTGCATTAAGCTGGGAGCAA